CAGTCCAGCTTACAGTACTCTGTAACAGGCAACTGCTAGGGTTTGTCTCCCCCTCCCCAGAGAGTGTCTTTCCAGCCTGAAATTATCCTAGACCGCTGTACAGCTCCGATTGCAGTGAAGAGATGTGGTTAAAGAGACTCCTCGCCTTTGCCCTACTACCATCCCAAGCACTCTGTGGGGACACATGGCAGCATGCCTTCCTTAAGCCAGCTTGATGGGTATTCTGCCTTTCCCTATCGCTTTCAACAACAGCCAGCCCTCCTCTGAAACCCGGACGCACACATCAGGATGAAACTCACACATCCTACCATAACTTGTATGGCAGAAATTTGGAAAGATCAGCTGAAAAGCTGTTCCTGCCTGCAGGTGAACGCTGCAGCAGCGGTCATGTCATGGCATGGCTTGGGATGGCACGGCTCAGGACGCCCAGCACCAGCAGCCAGCCCTGTGCTGACCGCAGCCATCCAGTCTACGTCTGCACCAAGCACCCCATGCCCTCACCCGCAATGCAAGCCTGGCTTGAGATTCACCTGCTTCTATCTTCTGAAAATTGAATAGGGTACCTTTAAAGTAACTGGACCATTCCTTACTGCACATTTAAATGAAAAAGAAAAAAAAAAAAAAGAAAAAAAAGAAAGCATTTCCAAACGAGAGAAATGGAGAAGGGCATGACAGACTTTCAGGATTAGTATTAATCTATTTGCATGCAATAAGAACGATTTGAAAAGATAAAAGAAAGAAAAGGGCATTGTCCATTTCCTACTAATACAATAACGAATGAATCGGTGATTACTGCTCTTGGTTTTCATTGAAGTACAGCCATCGACACCTGTCCAAACAGTATTTCAGATTTTGAAAAAAGTTGATCTGAAGACAGTATTATGTATATTTTAAAAAACCTACTATGTACATACTACTAAACCAAATACCTTTTTAGTTATGGAAACCGCACATTACAGAATTCAGAATATGACAGTGAGATAGGGAATACTGAATATGGAAATAGTTTGATGTTTCAGAATGTCATTCTGACTCTGGAGACCCAATTTATGACAATACCTTTATGGGTCTTTGAAAAAATATAATAAAATACACGGCATCCTTAATTTTCATACAGAAGAGTAAGAAACAGGTTTCCATCGCCTTATCTAATTGCTGCATACAGCCAAAGTATTCTGCAAAGGAAAAACATATCAGAACAGAGCACATAAATAATTCTTGCCAAGGAATTCAGTGGCAAATTGAAACAGCAAGGCAACTATTCATGTATCACAGGAGTGCTACTTTTCTCCTTTTCGGCTGCCAGCCATTTCATTTTCCTGTTATGCATAAAGCCCTGCTGTTGGAATGAAAAGGAGAATGAAGGACTGGAAATTGTTTCATAATTAAATATGAGCACAGATATGATGCATGGGATAGAAACGTGCTGTCGTGGTTTAACCCCAGCCAGCCACTAAGTACCACACATGGGTGCTCTGTCCGAGGTTTCCATAATTCAGTGCTTACCTGTTTTCATTGCACGGAGCTGGAAAGCTTGGGAAGAGCACCCACGCTTTCTCACTTGGGTTGCAAAATATTTATGTCTGCGGGAAATCTGGGGTTGAGTTGGTTTTGGGTTTTTTTTGGCATAGTGTTAAGGGTAAAGGAATAAGGCTATTTTAAGCAAAACAACTTTCACTTATACAACAGCATATTTTTGCTATATTTGGGTATTCAAAACAGGACCAATATCATCTCCTACTCACAAAAAAGCCACACTTGAGATAAAAGCAAGTTGATTATAAAATGAGCTTCCCCAGCTGGGACATGACAGCCAGAGACTCATTCCTCTGTGAGCAGGGTGTGTTACATCCATCTGCCCCATGGAAGACTAAGTTATGTCCTGAGTTTATTTTCTGAAAGGCTGGTGTTTAGCTGTCACTTCAGGACAAAATATTTTGAAAAGTCTTCCTAAAACTGACGCTACTATGTGCTCTGAACAACCCAGTCTCTCACTATTAAAAAAACCCAGCTGCATGTCAAAGCAAATCCACTGATGAAACAAGCCAAGTTACAGAGATAAAATAAAAATTGCCAGAATTTTTAAGCCAAAGGTTAGGAACACAGCCTTCCCCAAACTGAATAAACACTAGGGGATAGTGCTATAATGGCTCTTCCAGAAATATTTCCTATCTTTACTATAAACAAAGCAATGGAAAGTGTGCGCAACTACTTGTTCTTGTAAAGTTTCCCAAGTAACTAAAATCTCCTGCACGAGACTTCCACATTTCCCAAGCTTTCAGGACATCTTTGGACATCAAAATTTAGATTTCTGATACCTACCTAATACAGCTGATCAGCCAAGTTGCTCTTTGCAACTTAGCAGACCTGAATCTGTAATATTTGTAGTAACTTCCAAACTTCAAAAAATAATAACCAGGGTGTCTTAAATTCCTATTCAGGGTATTAAGCCATCTCTAGCTGGTGACAAAGAGGTATTTTCAATCTGGTTTATAGCACTTGCGTAACATTTGAGGTACATGGAGGTTCAGCACCTCTCTGAAATAGTTACTTGGCTGTATTCGGACACAAACATCTTGAAACAGACTTTAATGCTGCTTAATCTAAGTTCGTAAAATTTCCATTGAAGGAAAAATGGAATGTTTCCATTTCCAAACAGGAGAAATGCACAGCTACGTTGGTGCTTTCTGCAAAACGGATTTTTTAATCTGATCTAGTCTCTTCTTCTATGACTGCAAGTTTTCTCCCAGGTTCACCTAACTGCGCTCAGTTTTCTGAGGTTACATCATACTTATTCAGTAACAAGCTCCAAGAATTTTTTGTCCTGTTTTTATAGCTTTCAAAACGTAAGTATGCTATTTGGCCATTTCTAAAGCTTCCCATGTCACAACAGGCATAAGCTACCCAAGAGAGTACATACCCGTACTTACAAAACCAAACAAAATCAATCATGCTGCCCTTTATATCCTTTTGGGAAAGGTGAAGGGGCATTTACATGAAGTCTCAACCCTGCGAGATGCTGGCATGCGCGAGGGGCCAGGAATCCAAACCCCCTCCCAGGCAGTGGGACGTGAGACGCTGCTTCCCTTGATGACCCAGGGGGGCTTCAGGCTCTGAGCCATAAGGAAGAAGGGGCACGCTGCTTTGAGTTTAAACATCTTATGCTTGCCTTTGTCTTATGCTTTCCTTACAAGGCAGAGGGAAGGGGCTCTATCCAAAGTTTCCAAAGTAACGCATAGGTTCTGTTGTTGCACATCACTGCAGTGTCTCCACAGCGAGAAATCGTGTCTTGCACGACCCATGACAAGGCACAAAGATGCGTGAAATCGCTTGAAGGCTCAAAGCCTGGTACCAAGCGTGTAGAGCCGGGCACAGGAAACCTGCTCTGAAGCTAACTGTACCGCCTGCTGGTGATGGTCCTCTTACAAGCTATTGCCACAGTCTGGGGATCCACTAATATCCAAGGGCCAGGATATCACGGCACAAGGTATCTTAACATCCTCAGCCGAGTCTAAACATGAACCACCTAGCCCCTGTCAAGCAATGTTTCACTGACTGTTCCTGCTTCAGGCACCAGTTCATCTCAGTGCAGTTCTCCTCATCTGGCATGCAATTAAGGGGCTCTGAAACTTTGCAAGGCAGCACCTGCACTTCCTAGCATTCTCTTTGCCTGGTCACTCTCTGATCCGCTCTAGCAGGTGATCCGAGACGCCTGCCAGGTCACCTCTGCCCCAAGGTCTCTCCTTCAAGGTCTGCTTCGTTTAAGTCCATTTGTGTTGGGAACAGTTGCTCTAGAATAAAGTTACATACATCTTTCTTTCAAGCATTTCACTTTTTCTTCTGATCCTTTAAAAAAAAGAAATTAAGAACCAACCTTTTGCCCTTTAACTTGCATGTTGGTCTGAAAATTTAGCAGAATTTTTCTCTTCTGAATTGTTCATAGGATAAACGGAAAACTCGCCTATATTTTACATCCCAAATGTAAATTCTCGATTGTGAAAAGTGTTTGGTTCTCTTTCTTCTTGGTGTAGATTTTTGTGTCTCTGGCAATAGCAGATTTACTAATAGATGAACCCCTCTTAACAGTAGATGCTTTAAGTCTTAAGTTCACAGTAGACAGGTCTGATACACCTGAAAAAACTTCCTTGCCTTATATCATCTTGAGGAAGCAAGTATCTAAATATTCAGGAACTGAGTTAATGTGTGCTTGCATTTCTACATTCTAGCAGAATTTAAAGCCAGGCACATAATTCTGATTTAGTTAAACAAGAGTGAAACTACCAATGACCATCAAATTTCTGTGATTACTGAAGTCTAAGGCCTTCCCCCTCTTCTAAATTTTCCCTTTCATTCTGTTATTGGCAATTAAGACTAGAAAGCAGAGTTGATCCATGATCAGGTCATCACACATACAAGGTCATCCCACTGACTGCAATTCCTCCTTAATTCATCCTTAGGAAGCAGACTCAAATGCCACGTTTGAGCACACTTCTCCATTGTATTACACTGTTGGTCTTAAAAATATAAATAAGGTACTGTGACCAGAGGAAGCGCTTCACTTGAGGGCACTTCACTCTGCACGAGTGGTTTTCTCTCCAACACACCTCTTCTGCCACAAATTCTCTGGACATACGTCCACTCGACACTTCTGTGGTGCTCCATGAAAATGTGAAAGACCAGTGTGAATGACTTCTGCTGAGACTCCTCCCTGAAAGCCAGCCATGAGCAGCATGTCCTGCTCTGCTTGGATCCTCCACTTACAATCTGTAATCTTGATGGTCTCTTGGCAGTAGCAGTGGGAAAACAGCTCTTAAAATTACATGAAACTGAGGCAGCCTCTAGTAACTGGAAACACATTATCATAAAGCTTACTTGTGCAGTATGACAGTCTCATAGACTAATGGTATCTCAACAAAATCTCCTTCTCCTCTGCAGATGACCAGGCCTTATTATGGGCTCTATGAAAACTGTTGGTTTTGATGCACCGGTGACTCACCACTTCAACCTCTCCTGCACATCCTCTTCCTCCAGCACAGCGTGATCAGAATCAGAACTATGACAACCAAAATCCCCACGGGAACTGTCAGCCAAATCAAGGAGGAACCCTCATCTGTGAAAACAAAATCACAAAAAAACCCCCCATCAAACTACGCTAGTTTATATAGAAAAAAAAAGAGCAGAAAAAGCCAAGAGGTTGTCTGATTAATGACAACGGTTCCTCATCGAGATTGTGGAAGTTATTGCTGTTATATGAGCGAACGTGTGTATCTTCAAAGCCAAACCTACTTGCCCACAGAAAACGTTTTACGAAGAAGAGACACGCTCATGTGCGTCCATGGCAAAGAAAACTGTCCTTCCCAGACCTGATGCGGTAGTTGGCATGTGTATGAAGTTCTGCTTATGTACAAGTCCTGACACTTACTGAAGAGTTTCCTTGTTCATCCAGAATTTGAGCTCTTGGTTTGTAAAATAAAAGCCATTCTTTTTATTATTGAACACTTATCACTGTTGCAAAAGCTAAATTAACTTTTGGAAAAGAAGACAGGCTACATTTTGATGCATGGGAAGTATCTTTACCCAACATGTGAGCGTCAGACTCCCTCCTTTCGGGTTAGACGTTGGCCAATCCATTTCATTGCCATTAATCAAAACGAAGGCTCATTTCAATGCTCACTGAGGTTAGGTGGAAAACCTTCTGAATTAAAATTTGAGTCAAACCTCAACTGCCATGTCTTTGAATAAAGCTAGGTTGAACTATTCATTGAAATTCTTATTTCTCTAAAATGTAAGACTACCAAAGCAACGAGCTATGAGGTGATTTTTCATTCTCCTCACAAGGAATAACAACAGTCTTAGTTTCCTGCCTTCAGAGATACACATTTCCTTTTTAAAAGGCCAAAACAAAAGAATATTGAGCTTGAGACAAGACAAAAATATTTATTATGCCTTTTCAATTAGTGTCACTCAGAATTAAGAGCTAATTTGTTTATGAACTTTTAGAGATTTTAAAAATCAGATCTTATTCTCTACTACTATTCCTATAAAAATCACTTCTTGAGCACATAATTTGACAATTAACACACAGTCCCAAGCTGCTTTTCCTATCTTCCTAATTTCCAAGTGGTTTTCCTTTTAAGTCTCTGGATTTGGAGACAGGTGAATTTTAAATCACCTAAGTCAATGTTCCTGTGTGAACCGAGAATGGTACTTCAGCTTTTAACGTTTCTGCTTCCCATCTGGGGTGAAAGTCTTTCCAGCAGAACAGAAAGTTGGAAGAAGAAATAGATTATCACTACAACGTATTCAGAAGTTACATTACTGACCACCTTCCTGTCTTCCTGAAAATACTCTGCCTCCCTGACTACTACTGCAATGCACATGTGTCCTAGCAAAAATGTCCGAGAAACTAACACGTAACCCATGGGTCAACTGTACCAAAACACGTAGTAAGTTTAACTGAAACGTTTGGTTAATCGTTGTTCAGAGATAGTTTGTTATTAATTTAAAAGCTTCCAGTTCACTGGGCGATTTTACTTCATCTAGACATACATCAGATGACAAACGTTTATATGTGTCTTTGGAGTGCCAAAGAAACTATGAAGGCCTGTGTGAAAACTGAAGTTCGACTCGCTGCAAAATGCATGGTGCCTCTAAAATCTACAGCTCCCTAGCTGACTACTTTGGCTTTTTTCCTCCCTCTTGGAGAGGGCCCAGATCTGTTACTGTCTCAAAGACGGCAGTGAACACAAAGTAAGATTTCCTTTCTTCTTACTTGGCACAGACACATTTCACTCCCTCCTCCTCCCAGCAGATTCTTATCCAAATATGCTATTGCAAAACATGGAAGCCAGGAGAACGCAATCAAGTAGCTTGTACTGTTCACCTACCTCCTTTTATTTTCACAGGCAATTCCATTTTTTCATTCTCGTTGCTTACTCTGCAGGTCAAGTCCTGCGCACTGACGCTCCGACTGTTGTAGATCTCCAGCTTACTGGTGATGGACACCACCCCGTTGGTGTGTCTGATCATCTCCTGCGTAGGTGTAGAATTGAACAAGTTGTTCCAGGTGACGGTGGGCTCTGGGAGGCCAACAGCGTTACAGACAGCTATCAAATGACCTTCGGAAATGTTGTAATGGACAGATGCATTGAGACCTTCCAACACACAAACGAGACAATCCATCACCACAATGAGCACCTGGTCATAGACAGTAACAACAGTTTAAACACTACCAATCAGAGTAAAGCTTACTAAATTTGCACCGAGCCCCACAGCACAAGAATGCAAGAAGAATTCACTGGGTCAGGTCTTCCCCATGATTCTGTACCCTTATACCGGAGTTGTACACCTCAAAGGTTTCACCCAACCTGAAATCCCAGGTTTTCACAGAATCTGTTTAAGTACAACCATTTCCGTGCTGGTCTCCTATCGCCAAATTCCCTATCAACAGCAGGGTTTGGCAGAGCAGCTCACAGCACTGGGGCTGTACCTGGCACCAAGTAGAAACCGCAACAGGCAAGGTTGGTTTGCCCAAGTTCCAGGTGGGACTGCTCGGGGGCTTACAAAGAAAGATCCCATTCCTTGTTTTTTAGTTGCTACTCACAGAGTAACAAACAAGGAGAGCTCAGAGACAAAGCCAGCACAACAGGCTTGCGTATGACTCCACAGCATCTTGCTCTACACCATGTTTCACCAAGGGATGCTCCTGGCACTGCAGTCGCCAAGTCCACTTAAAGAAATGCTGTGGTTGAGAAAACACCTCTTTTTCCACTAGAGACATAACCCTGCAGAGAACCTCACCGAAGACACTCAAGCAGGTACGTGCCGAGAAGGAGCCCAAAGGGTAAGTATTGAAGAGACATATGTAACATCCTGAATCATCCATTCTAGTGGTCCAGAAAGTGATGCTCGTCTCATTGAACGCCAGCTTCGTGAAATTCATTCGGTCTTGATAGGGCTTGTGAATCTTCAATCCACTCCTGTTACTGACTGTAGCTATATTACTGAGTGATTTTTCAGAGTCTTTTTGCCATGTCACTTGCAGAACCTCCTTGGATTCTGTCAGGAGGCAGCCGAGAGTCACACTGTCACCCACCTTCACATTTTTGCGATCAGCCTGTGGAACCACTGCAGCAACATGAAATAGTTAGTGAAATGGGCACATCGCACACATATTCAGAAGCATAATGCTGATTCTAAGGCCCGGGTTGCCCACAGACACAACAATTCCATCAATTACTTTTTGGTGGGGGAAAACCGTAGAAAGACGATGTATTTCTCCTGCATCCTCCTATAAATAAATGAAGTTACGCTGATTTATACTGGCTGAGGCTCTGGCTTTCTTCTGAAATGTTTAAAAGAGAATAGACATACCCTATTTCCGTACCCATCCCTGAAGGCTTCCCATTTCATTTTTATTAAATCAGCTCATGCCTTCCTATTCTCAGCAAAGACAACTTTTGTCTCCAAAAATCTAGAGGAAGATTGAATGCACAAGGGAAGTGCATACCAAACCATTCTCAGAAAGCTGAGCAGCAAAATGGGCTAAAGAAAATTTCTGGACTATATAGCTTCAGAGTTTGCAGTGCATTCGAGAGGAAGGGAAAGAAGAAGAGAGATTTAGTCCTGAGGGAAGTATCCACTACAGGAAGTTGTGAACTCTGGTGAATAACTGTGTCCAGTGTCATTGTAGATGTGGGATGCTGCATGTCCCTCCCATCTCAAAATGCTGCTCCAGGTCTTGGGTCACATCAATCTGCTCCATGTCTATGCCTCAGCTATCTAACGTATGTCAAATAGCACCAACCACCTGTATTTCACTCATTTTGGTGAAATGGACTTCAGAGGACTTCAGCCTCTTTGACTGCAGAAGCCTCAGGAATGAGAAACCAGTTACCCAAACATTTTCAGGCAAATTTCAGGAAATGCAACTTACCATTTGCCTTTCCAAGCCCAGCACAAGCCAGACACAAAACCAGAGCTCGGACAGTCATTTTGGACAGGAAAATCTGCTTCACCTGAAGAAAGGGAATGATGCACAACTCAACAACAAATCATCATCCGGTGATCTCACATCTCTGGGGTGCAAACATTAATAGTAGCTTTGCCATGCGAGAAAAACATAGTTCTGGGGGCAGACAGTGAGTTTTGACAGGTCTCATGATACAACAAAGAAAGTGCTCTGGTCAAGGAGGGAAAAAGAGTTGTACAATGAAAGTTAGAAAGGCATTAATCCACCAGAAATGTGATGTACAGGTTGTCGGTTGTCCAGGACTAGCTGTGGCACTGGGAGAGAGGTAGGGTTAGTTTGTAGGATCACGGGATAAATTGAAAACAACTTCACTGAGGACTTCGGGACTCCCCATCTGTCCAAAATTGCATGTATCAGGAAACTTTTGGGGCATGGGGCATACTGCCCCTGCTACGCACAAATATATTTCCAAGGTGGGAAAGGGTCAAAATTAAGGTTGTGTAACTGCTTTCCTCAGTGGCCAGCTTTTGACCTGTTTCTTGTTCCCTCAGTCGGTTAATAATGCCACAGTACAACTGACCTCCCTGAAACTCAAGCTGGCATCAATATTTAAGTGGAAACATATTTCACAGAAAATACCTCCGTTACACAAAACACCTACACCTGAGGGTTTTTAGCAAAAGAAAAGCTAGCTGATGCCTCTTGAGAGTGTCTTCTGCCAAGAACACAAGAAAAATTCAACTTTTTAAAGACCTTCACAACATGCAAGAAATAGGAGAATCAATTGTAAAGCATCTTCTATATTATCATATGGTTTGAAAAAGGACTGATGAATAAGTTAATTAGAGAAATGAAATTCTATTTAAGAAACAAATTTCCAGCAAAACCCTGCACACAATGCATACACACACAACTAGTAGCCTGCCTTTAAATTTTAAGCATGACGTGCCGAAACAACTCTGCAGTTAGCAAGCATGAACACAGACCAAGCTCTTGTAAAATAAACAAAGAAGAAACCGTCAGCAACAAGCCCAATGAATAACGAATTTGCCAGATAATACAGCGCGGTCAAGCTCTAAGAAGCTCAGATAGATATTCCTAAAACTATGCACAAATCACGGTGCAGCACAGCGAGTCGGAGAGAAATTCCAAGTTATAAAAGTGTTTATAAGCCAACTACACCTGCGGGAAGCCACCGGTTTCATTCACAACCTGTCTCACGGCTTTAATGCGAGCTGAAGCCCTGAAGACACTACTGCTCGCACCCAGGGCGGCTGCAAGATCTCGCACAGCGAGGAAGCAGGATGCTGCGGAGCTGTGCCGGTTGCAAAAAAAAAAAGAAATCCCCTTTACGTCAAAAGCGCAATCACGAGTCTTACAGGGCAAAGTAAAGAAAAATTAAATGCTTTTAAAGTAGGACAAGTACAGAGTAAATGCTTCACGGTGCCGTACCTTCCCAAACCACACCTCAGAGGTCTTCTGAGCCACCGCCCGTATCCCTGTGCTGGATTCTCTAGTCCTCCGCGACCCGTTCTAAAACTTTCCCAACTTTTCCAGACCGCTTCCTGCTGGGCACCAGCCCCGGGAGCTGC